CTTGAAGGAGTTAAAAGAAAGCTTTGATTCCATTAGAAATGCTGTGAGGTATATTCACTCCTCTCCTTCTAGGTTTCTTAAATTTAAAAGTTAGGTTGATTGAGAGAAATTGGACACTAAAAGCCTTATATACTTGGATGTTTCTACACGATGGAATTCCACTTATTTAATGCTTGAATCTGCTTTGAAGTTTGAAAGAGTGTTTAAAAGAATGCATGATAAAGATGATGAATATCGTGCTTACTTTAAAATTAATAAGGAGGATGAGCATATCTCTAAGCATGACCCAATCAACCGTTTGTGTAGACGTGAGTATCCTAAGGAAAGGGATTGGAGTAGAGCCCGTATTTTCCTCAAGTTTTTAAAGGTTTTTTATGATATAACATTGATGTTTTCTTCCACACTGAATGTGACATCTAAAACGTGCTTCCATCAAATTACACGTGTACAAAATTTATTGCAAAAAAATATATTGAATGCTGATTCTCTCCTTGGGGACATGAGCCTTAGCATGCAAATAAAATATGAGAAGTATTAGGGTTAAACTGATAATATGAATCCTTTATTGATGATTGCTGTAATTTTAGACCTTCGATACAAATTGGCTTATGTGAATCATGTCTTTGAGCAGCTTTACATTGATTCAAATGCATGTGTAGCTATGAAAATGAGGGTGAAAGGTTGCTTATATCATTTGTATAATGAGTATTCAGCTGGAGTAAGTTTGGAATCAAGTGTCTCCTCTTCATCTGCACCATCAGGGGTGACTTCATTTGAAGATGACTCTTTAGGTGATGATAATGACCCTGGTGTTCTATTACTGGAGTCATAAAAGCAGGAACTTCCAATGATGATCAGATAGAGTTGGACAAATATCTTGTAGCTAATCTTGAAATTGTTTCTAGTTCTAGTGTAGCATTTGATATCTTGTCATAGTGAAAGGCAAATGTATCTAAATATAAAACTCTTTCTCTTATGGCCAAAGATGTGTTGGCTATTCCAATGTCAATGATCACATTTGAATTTGCTTTTAGCACTGAAGGGTGAGTAGTTGATCAATATATGAGTTCATTATCTCCTCGAATGATTGAAGCACTGATTTGTGCTCAAAATTGGCTCCTACCTGGAACATCTCTCACAGAACTTGCTAATAAGTTGTGTGAATTTGATAACGTTGAAGAGACAGATCATGTTGTTCAATATGGTAATATTTTTAATTTAATTTAATTTTTTTTATATTTTTTTGTGCCGTGAATATTGATTTTAGCTATTATACAGTGCTTTAATTTGATTTCTTTTTCTTTTAGAAGTAACTACTGTCATTGAGGGAGGACAATATGATACTATGATTGTGGATAGTTGAAAGAGGGACAAAGATTGTTGCTTGAATGCTCAATATAGTAATTTTATTAAATTAATTTATTTTCCTTGTTATAAATTATCACGTAATTTAATTCTTCTTATTATTTTACTTCAGGTTATTGATGGTTTAGCTTCAGCCTTAAAGGAGGAATGGCTAAATGGGCATTAGCAACTCAATTTGTCTAGTTTATGTTGGATTTTTTTAGGATTAACTTTATGTTTGAATTATTAGACTATTTGACTTGTGACTTTTAAAAACTTAATATGGTGATGGTTGATGTTTATGGAAGATGGATCTATGGCCTTTTAAAAGGCTATTTTTGTTTATGGATGATTGGACTATGTTTAAATTATTGGAGAAATCCCTTTGCGTTGTCATAAATTTTATCATGTTATGCTTGTCTTCTATTGTTTACTTCCTTTATTGTTGTTGCTGCTGGAATATCATCTTATAAGTTATTTATAATTTTCAGTTGTTTGGTTGTACTGTCTAGTGTCTACTGTGTGTGTAATGTATAGTTTTAGGCTTTTTCATGTTGAATATTTTTTTTTTCATTCTTTCATGCTTTCATTTCAGCGTCTCAATCAGGTATCTACGGTATTTTCTTAACTGTATGAGCACAACCATTTTCTTAGTTGTATGAGATAGTTGTTCGCAGGACTTCTCTTTTTTGTCTCTTTTTTGTTTTGGCCCCATTAGTTGTTCACTTCGTGTAGGTGGTGAGAGATTAAGTGACATTGAATTTTTAGACAGGGCTAGAGACCCTGCCTGAGGTGCCCGATCCTTACTCGGCCCTGCCTGCCCAGCCCCTTTAAAGTCTGGCATCTTTCAAGTAAAGTCGGCTTTGGACTTGGTTTGTTTGCCCAAAAACATTTAGGGCAGGGCATCGGGTTAAGGGGCTACCTTACCCGACTTTGCCCATGCACAGCCTTACTGCATACTATCCATATGGACCTTTTAAATTGATGTTAAACATTGATTCAATTTCTTTGGTCAAGATTATCCAATCAATGTTGATGATTGTGCCTAAAAATTGTTGCATTTAAACTAATGAATATTTTTAAGCTTTATTCTTCTTGTTTTGTTTATCTGGAAACTTTGCTTCTGTTAATTGTATCAAATATTTGCATGTCTCTGGAGCACAACGAAAGGAGGGAGGGAGGGAGAGAAAAAATTAGGTTAGTTTATCACTAATAAATGTAAATTTTTACACTCTTAATGCTTATTTTTTAAGGATCAAATTTTTGCATGTGGCTAATTTGATTTGGTTGTTTGCCACCTAGGATTTTTCTGTTGAAATTTTTACATTTTTTGTGTGCGGCATGAGTGATATATCAAATTATCATTCATCCATCTTAATAATCCAAATAATGGTTGAAATATGTTAGGGGCTTATGGACTGCCCTACTTTGGGTTTCATCTGATCAGCTTCTTTCAACATAGAGATCGAAGTTATTTACTTAAAGGTTGGTTGGCAAGTTTTTCAAACTGATTTGTTTGTGTGTGTATATACATGTGTGTGAAATAATTTTTAGTAATTGACTTCTATCAGTTTGATCTCTCATAGAAAAAACAACCACCCTTCCATGCATGGTGTCATTTTCAGTGACTGAAATTTATTCACATTGGAAATATTTTTTTTACGAGAGAACAAATTAAATTCACAAGCTTATGAGAGATCAATCGTATTGTAAATGTTGCTACTTTTTTTTTTTTCGGTCAGTTTTGGTTTTATTTTCACGTAGAGCCGTTTATTTTGAAACTATTTTTGTAGAGACCAGGTTCTGTTCTAGTGAGGAGGTCCTGGTTCTCATAATGCCCTCGCAAAAGGATAGGATAACGAACGAGGCTTCCTTATTGTTAGAGAATTTGATATCTTTTGTATCATTTAGTTGAAGTAATGGCATATTTTCTTTTCATTCAAAAAAATATTAATGTTAGGACGCTGAACAAAATCAAAGATTTTCGAACCAGACAAAAAATTCTTAGTGGGATTCCGGGAAGATATCTAGGCAAAATTACCTTGATCAAGTCGAGAGGGCTCTGGCAATTATCATCAAGGATGTTGTATGATTTGTTTGTGAAATATATGTTTTATGGCAAATCCAAGGTAAAAACAATTAAATTAGAAGTTTTGAATATTACAAGTTTAAGTTGTTAACATTTTAATGATGAGGTAATGAAACTTTCAATATCTTAAATTTACTAAATTGTTAATTTCCTTCAAATTTATTTTTTTATTGATTTGATTTTTATATTTTCCAAAATTATCATATGAACTATTTAGATTTTAAAACACAAGTTAAATCTCAAGTTAACCTAATACATAAAGTATGCTGATAATCAGGCATGTGTATAAATAAGAACAAATTAACCTTTAAATAAGTTTAGTTTTTATCAATATAATTCATTACGCTATGGTTTGTTCTTTTATTTTTTAAAATTTTAGAATTGGTTTTTCCCAAATTAAATAAATGCACTTCTTTTCATTAATCCACATAATTATTATTTATATTTTATTATTTATGTCAATAAATCTTAACAATATTACTTGCTCTCTAAACAATAAAGAACAAATCAATAATTAGGATAAATTTAAGAAAAAATGATTAAAATTAAATTTAAGATATCAAATCAATAATAAAGATAGATTTGAGGAACTAAAAAGTTATATTATTTTAATTTTAAATTTAAAAAAACTAGTTCATAGTGGACGACGGTGTTAGATAACTAGGTGGTGATTAGTTTAGTGATTTATAAACAATACATACACATGTCATCATATATAATCAGAGAGTTGAATGGTGACTATACAAGAATAAATAACTGACAATACAAGTGATTATATCAATGACGTTATGGATAATGTCAATAACATATGAAAGGTTTAGAGGCAACTCCACAATTCGCCTTTTCTTTATTTTATTTTAAAAAATAATTATGTATCATTGTAAACATCACGGAAAGAAAATAGCACGTCAAGATAATGAAAACAAAGACAAAAGATTCTTAACAAGGTAAACTCACAAGGTATAAAAAAAAAAAAAAAACCTAAATAAAAGAGAGACGGTATAAAAAGAAGTATAAAAAGTGTACAGCTATATCAAATATTTATGTGAAGAAATTTATCTTCAATATAATTGTACTAAACTTAACCTATAAATAATGAATAATTATATATTTTTTTATAAAAATAATTGGCATTCTCTCAAGTCTTATTTATAAAATACTTTTTATAAGTAATCTTTAATTTAAAATATAAGACACGTTATAATAATTAAATTACTTTTTTATTTTTTAATTAATATAAAAATATTTAAAATAATTGTACTATAATTTAAGCTTAAGAGTAAAAATAAAAGTATATCTCATTTTTTTATAATATTATGAATAAAATTAATTTTTTTAAGATAGATGAAATGATTAAAAATAACTTACAGTATAAACCGTGAAAAGTATTTAATATTTTTTAATTTTATTTATAAATTATTTTTAATATGTTTAATTGAAATTTAAAAAAATTTAAAATTTATTAATTTTATATTTTTAAAATTTAATAAATTTTTAAATTTATGTCTGATAAATAAAATATGGGAAATTTTCTCCCCACCTTATGAACAGAAGGACGGAGGGAGAATTTGACAATGGAAATGCATCGAAAATCAACGATTTGATATTATTGAGTGTTTACCCTGCGGCTGTCCCTAGTGGCTTGCTAGCTCCTGCTTTCTCTTCTCTGGGGGTGGCAGACTCGCCGAATGCATTAAGCCGCTCACTGATTCGGAATCCAGTGCACCTCAATCAATTGAAATACTCTTCTCCTTTTCGATTCCAAGCCGCCAACCAGTACTTTCAGATTTTCCCTCTCTGCCGCGAAGAAGCCATGGTGGTTTCCCTTTCTACTGTGATCTCACACTCCTCCCGCATTTTCCATCCCAACAATCTACTTCACCAGCACAGCGACACCTTCCAATCTCAATGCCGTCCCTCCCCTCTCTTGCACCGTCGCTTGCTTCCCCTTCGGTATTTTTCACATATACTGCTTCCTCCCGACTAAATCTCCTTAGTTCTTCCTCTGAATATGTACAAATGGAGCTTTCATTCCTTGCTGTGTCATTGTTTAGAAGTCTAAGTCGCTAAATTTGGCTGTTATTTGCGTTTTTTTTTTTGGCTTCTTTCGTTTGTGGCGGTTAATGTCGACTCCTAATCGTCAACAAGATCGAAAAGAAACTTTATCTTTTTAGTCTTTTGGGGAAAAAATAAAATAAAAGCAAACAAAGATATCAAGCACAATTTATGCTACATTTAATCGTACTAATGATGTGAAATATATGATATGCTGGGAAAAAAATGTAGAAGATACATATCCGGCCATCATTGAAATCAAACAGTGACATCAAATGTGTCAACGTTTCTGGTAAAAATATAGTCATTTTCTTGCTTCTACACTTGCTGTATTCTCCCGCCTTTAGCATCCGTGTATTTTCACTTTCTTATGTCTTAGTCCAGTCACATATTTCACGTGCTAGTTTTCTTTCCCGTTCTTCTCTTTCTTTATTTTAAATTAATTAATTATTATGAGGATACTTTGGTTTCTGCCTCAGAAAGAGTCTTACTTCAGCTCGGGGAAGAGAAACACTAAAGAGTAGGATACGTGCTTCGCTTACAGGTTGCTACTTAGTTATTTGTATATTGGAGTTTGTTCCTCTAATTTTGCAGAGCTTAAATTTTTATATAATTAACTTATATTTATAATATAATTTTCTTTTTTAACTGGCAGATGTTTCATTGGATTTATCTGTAGAGGAAAAACAGCTTCCCAAAGGAGAAACTTGGTCCGTTCATAAATTTGGAGGAACCTGTGTGGGAACCGCACTAAGAATTAAAAATGTTGCAGATATAATAATCAATGATGATTCAGAAAGGAAAGTTGTTGTCGTCTCTGCTATGTCAAAGGTGACAGATATGATGTATGACCTTATTTACAAGGCTCAAGCACGTGACGAGTCCTATATATCTGCACTAGACGCTGTTTTAGAGAAGCACAACTCTGCTGCACGTGAACTACTTGTTGGAGATGAACTTGCTCTTTTCTTATCAAAGTTGCACGATGATATCAATAACCTTAAGGCAATGCTTCGTGCAATTTACATTGGTAACAGCTTCTCTCTTTCTCTCTAGTACTCATTGTCTGTTACTTTGTTTCCAAAGCATGTCTCTGTGTGTGTATAACTTAATGACTTCTTCTTTCTTTTTGGTTGATCATGTCTATGACTTTGATAGTCCTCTTGTTTCTCCAACATCTATCTGATGTAGAAGTACTTCTTTGAATGGTAGCGCACTTTAGTAGACTGTTCTTTAGCACTATCATGACAATGTCAACATCGCTGCTTAATTTTCCATCTTGACAATTAGTAAGGTCTACACTTTACCATCCTACTGTCGAATACTTTTGCCTTTCTAATTCTATCAAATAAAGGGATCCTGCACATGAGGATATATAGTTATATCCAGTGAAACACTAAAATGCTTTGTCACCTTAGAAGTTATTCTTGTTGAACCTTGATAATCGTTTTGTTGTAGCCTTTGGTGGCATTTTGAGTGCTTCTATTGATCTGATATTAATTCATGCTTAACATTTGTTATATGATCTAATCATTCTCCATAAAAGAGATAATTTCTTTTATGCTTAAATATGGGTCAAGAAATTAATGGAACATCCCCACTAACTTGCTGAATGCCTCGCAGCTGGTCATGCAACAGAATCCTTTACAGACTTTGTAGTGGGGCATGGGGAGTTATGGTCTGCTCATATGTTGTCTTCAGTTATTCGGATGGTTGGTTGCTTCTTTTAGAATGTGTTGCTTTTCATATTTCTCTGATTTAAATTGTGCTGATTGCATCAAGCTTCCCTTTTGTGCTGCAGAATGGGACTGACTGCAAATGGATGGATGCAAGGGAAGTCCTTGTTGTAAATCCAACTAGTTCTAATCAAGTTGATCCTGACTATTTGGAATCTGGGCGAAGACTTGAGAAATGGTACTCTCTGAATCCATCTAAGGTTATCATTGCTACTGGATTTATTGCAAGTACACCTCAAAATATACCTACTACACTGAAGAGAGATGGTAGTGATTTCTCGGCAGCAATTATGGGTGCTCTCTTTAGGGCCCGCCAGGTCACAATTTGGACAGATGTTGATGGTGTCTATAGTGCAGATCCCAGAAAAGGTTTGTGTCTCTCATTGTTTGATGTCCTAGTTCAACCAAGACTTCATTGCAGTAGAGATGAAATTCTGTTTTTGCTTTCAACTTTTGAGATAGCTCTACCTATTCGAATCCTGCTTCCAAAAGTCATACCAGTTTATTAATTATGCTCTATCTTCATCATGATTATCATCTTTATTATTCATTTGAGTGCTTTACTATGAAGGTTTTTGTTAAATATAAACAAAAATGTTTTCTGCAGTTAGTGAGGCTGTAATTTTGAAGACATTATCGTATCAAGAAGCATGGGAAATGGTCAGTTGAACTTTGGAATGCCTCAGTGCTCTTTATGCCTATGAAATTCTGTAGATTAACTCACAACCTGCATGTTGTGCAGTCTTATTTTGGTGCAAATGTTTTACATCCCCGTACAATCATCCCAGTGATGCAATATGACATACCCATTATAATTAGAAACATTTTCAACCTCTCTGCCCCTGGAACAAAGATTTGCCGTTCCTCCATCAATGATGATGAAGATATGCAGAACTTCAATCATTTTGTTAAAGGGTTTGCAACCATTGACAACTTAGCACTTGTTAATGTTGAGGGGTGAGTCATGATTGCCTTCACCTGCCTGATGAATAGCCCTTTTATTTCCTATTTGATGCCTTCAATTTAGTAGCCTATACCATATTATAAGTCTTGGACACCTTCAACGCATTTTGCAGAACTGGAATGGCTGGTGTTCCAGGGACAGCCAGTGCTATTTTTTCTGCTGTAAAAGATGTTGGAGCTAATGTTATCATGATATCTCAGGTATGCCTATCATCTTATGCTAGTTTCACTATTGAGATATATGTTTCGGTATTGGGATAAATGAAATTGAAGTGTTCATTAACTGCATTTATGTAGGCTAGTAGTGAGCATTCTGTATGCTTTGCTGTGCCTGAGAAGGAAGTAAAAGCTGTTGCTGAAGCATTGCAATCCAAATTTCGTCAAGCTTTGGATGCTGGGCGTCTATCTCAGGTGCTAAGTCAAATTCTGCAACAAGCCAATAATTTATTGTGCTTTTTGTAATCATGTGGACATTTTAAGTCTGATATCAATGACTAAGACTTGAAGATTTATCTGGTTGTGGATATGCAGCTTTCTTGGAAACTAAATGAGCCCTTCACCCATCATTCTCCTATTTATTATTTAAGGGTTGCTAAAGGTTTAGCCGTTTAGGGCTTCAAATATCTTACCATCACCAATAGTAGAGCCTTGCTCAGATCAATATTGAATTATTTCCTTTTAAGTAAGGGATTGTTGATTTTATTTCAAGATTACCCCTTGTATTATGGCTAACCTTTAGTTTGGTTTCCCATGGTCTCTTCAAGATAAAATCTTACTGTAGAGCAATAGGAACTTAAACTTAGCAGGTAATTAGATAAATTTGGAACTTATCTATTATCTCTATTATATAATTTTTCCAAAAGGAAAGGATTGCAGTTCATGTTCCTATGATGGCACTAAGCTCTAATGTTGCAAAATTTTGGCTGTTGCTTGAGGTATTTATGTACAAGTTGTTTAATGCATTTCTGTTCAATAAGTATATGTAGTTAGTTGGATAATGTTGAATTGTAAGGCTTTTTAACTTCTATTTTGTTACTAGTGTTATATTCTAAATCATATAACACTTCACAGGTCGCAGTTGTTCCAAATTGTAGCATTTTGGCTGCTGTTGGCCAGAAGATGGCAAGTACTCCTGGAGTTAGTGCTTCCCTATTCAATGCATTAGCCAAGGTTTGGAAATCATGGTTTATCTTAGTAGTCTGACAGTTTATTGTTGTAAGTTAAAATTGGTATATTAAAATTTATTCTGGTAAAGTTTTATTTCATCAACATAATGAATGTTTTACCTTCTACATTTCTACTCTATTCTTGCAGCATCTTGGTATGTTTCTTTTAATTTGTTTATGGTCAAACTTGTTATCAAAATACAGGCAAATATCAATGTCCGTGCTATTGCTCAAGGTTGTAGCGAGTACAATATCACTGTTGTTGTTAAGCGAGAAGATTGTATCAAGGCTCTTCGGGCTGTTCATTCGAGATTTTATCTCTCAAGAACCACCATAGCGATGGGCATTATTGGACCTGGTTTAATTGGGAGTGCCCTTCTTGACCAACTAAGGGATCAGGTGCTGCTTTGTAGATAATTTTGAGTCTATGTATATGGTTTTAGTTCCAGCATTATTTGTTATTTTTCATCTTGAATTACCAGTTGCATTGACAAGAAATCAATTGGAGAATTGAAATATGACACACACACACACACACACACTCTTCTAATTAACATTAATTTTGTTGGCAAAAAATTAGCGAAGCACGTTATATCAAAACTTTTTATTTTTTATATTGTGAAATTAGATCCAGCGAAGATTCAGTTTTATTACTTTGTAGTTGAAAGTAAATGCCTTTAAATTATGTATTTAATATAAATTATCTGTAAATTATCAACATTTAACAGTTATGTCAGTATAGAGCCTGCAAATTAAATCTCTTTTTCTCCATTGTTTTTGGTTCAAAATATCTAAGCTTGGTATATTTAGCATTTCATGATTTTTATTTTATTATTAAAGGAATTTGTGATGTCTGAGTTTGCTATCATATAATAACCTAAGGCGACCCAACTATAATTTTCTTACTTATAACATGCGGATGTCCAGCATTACTTTTAGAGTTGCTGTCTGACAAGGATTCTACTTTAACACTTTCCCATGTTTAAATTTGTTGCTCATGTGCTCAAAATTGGCATCCAAGATAACTGAAGTTCTTTGGTTTATTTTCCACAAGATTTGAGGTATCTTGGCAAATTTATGTGCCAAATTTATTTATGTAGGCTGCTGTTTTGAAAGAAGAGTTTAACATTGATTTGCGTGTATTGGGCATCATTGGTTCGAAGTCAATGATTCTTAGTGATCTGTAAGTCCATTTGCTTGGAACCAAAATTTCTCCTATGTCAATACGAATTTCCAGGTTTTTATCGTATGAATGAGTAGCTCATTTTACACCTTTTAACCTTTTGGAAAAAATGGTTGCAATTATCTGCCCTTTTATTTAGACACAAAAAGAGTATTGCGCGTGTAATCCTTGCATAGGGGCCATGCTAATCTTTTTATATCGTTCTGATTTTATCGGATGTCCTTGAAGGGACACACAAAAAGAGCATTAGTGGAAGGAACAAAGCAAGCAAAAGGGATATAAGGTGCACTTGGAGAAAAGCATAGATAACCATCAATACAAAATAGCTTATCAATCCCTTTGCATGTCTAAAAAGGAAATTGCCCATGAGAAACTTTGTGGAGCATAAAAAAAGAAAGCATGAATAACAATAACCAAAGCAAAATAAGCTTAAGGATATTAAGGTTTCCCCAAAAAAATCTGAGCATTATGTTGCATTTATAGGTGCCATAGAACAGGGCATGAAGAAGGTTGTTTTAATGCTTTGCCTTCTTTCAGCTGTGAAGACTTTTGATCAACTAGAAGGGCTACAATCTGTTGGGACATGCCCAATATTTACCAGCAATACTGATGCATAATTTGTCACCTAAATTTATTTTCAGCTGTTTACTTTCTCCTTATTGAAGTTGCAAATTCCATCGATGGAAAAGATGGAAAGCAGCCCTTTGTGCCTTTCCTTTTAAAATAGGCCATAATTTGTCACTTGAGAGGAATGCCTCGGCTAATACATGGTTATTAGTTAGTATTACTGGATGCATCCTGGTATTGTTTGATGAACCTGCTCATTTCTATTTATTGATCATATGAAGTGGGTTCCTATTAAAATAGGATGTGCTGTTATTGCTGATTGCAGGGGTGTTGACTTAGCTCAATGGAGAGAAATTCGAGAGGAAAGAGGAGAAGCAGCTAATTTGAAAAAATTTGTTCAACATGTGCATGGAAATCATTTTATACCTAACACAGTTTTAGTGGACTGCACAGCTGACTCCGTCATTGCAAGCCATTACCATGACTGGTTGCGCAAAGGAATGCATGTAGTCACCCCCAACAAAAAGGCAAATTCAGGACCCCTTGATCAGGTAACTGGTTTTAGCTATGACTCGTGTATTTTCCTTGTAAGTTTTAGATTAAGCTTTAAAGTTAGAAGCTATTTATATGCTCAGCTGAATCTAGAAATTCCCAAACTTTATGTCAGCTTGCTTGTCATTGAAATTTCTTGGGATTAAGTTTATTAAGGGAAGATATTAGAAAGTTAAGAATAATGAATCCTAAAAGAAAGGAAAAAGGACAGTCTCAAAATAAGACTGCGTAAGAAAAGTCCTGAATAAAAAATTACTCAATGAAGAGCTGTTCAAATGTCCTTGCATGTCACAAAATATCTAGCCCCTTGAAAAGACCATGCGCAGAGCCCTGAAGAGAAGCTGCAAATACAATCCTTTCCCATAACATTAGTTTATTTAGTTGTTTCACTGTACTTTTACTGAGTCTTACTCACCATGTACTGTATCCAGTATTTGAGGTTAAGAGCTCTTCAAAGACAATCCTATACTCATTACTTCTATGAAGCTACTGTTGGAGCTGGTCTTCCAATCATTGGCACTTTGCAGGGCCTCCTTGAAACTGGAGACAGAATATTGCAAATTGAAGGCATCTTCAGGTTTGTTTTGCTACCTTGCATCTCTGTTTGTTTGCTTTAGTAGGTTGAGAGAGGAGAATGACAGCTCAGACTGAGACTTCTGATCTTGAAATCGGTCCTGGTATCCCAGAGAATGGAGAGCATTAATTCATTAACTACTAATGTATATGAGCATATTTCATTGATGTCATAGATCTAACAAAGGTCACCGTCTTTTTGATTTTCAGTGGGACTTTGAGTTACATCTTTAATAACTTTAAAGATGGTCGGCTTTTTAGTGAGGTAGTTGCTGAAGCAAAGGAAGCAGGTTATACTGAGCCAGATCCAAGGGATGATCTTTCTGGAACAGATGTTGCTAGAAAGGTACATACGACAGTGCTGAAAATACCTTCCATCTTCAAATGTCTTTGAAGTTCCTTCTTGCTATTGACATCCCATGAGTTTTTATCTTAAAAAGAAGCTTAATTTTTCTTATTTTAGGAGTAGAGCTGTTATTCAAGTGAGTCAATTTAAATATATGAATTTTTTAGATCAAGTTGGATTCAAACTACATAGGATCTTGAATTCAATTTCGATTTACATCTTATTGTTTGAGTTCAGGCTTTGAGAAAATGATGTATAATTCAAAGATGCTTGATTAATTTCAGATTGTAAGACACAAAAACTTGGAGAAAAATTAGTTTGTGAATCTTATATCTAGCAGCTATACATCAAAATATTTATCTATCATATTATGATTTACTTTCTTTTAGGTCGGGATATAGTTTGTACTCAACTAATGTAAACTCCAACATCTAGATTTATAAAATTATGATAGACATGTATACAGATAGTATCATTAGTTTGTATTGGTTGTTATGTAGTAGTCATATACACATACGCACAATGCTACCTTATACACATGCCTGGTGTTTTTGTGCATTCTCACATAGCATATTGAGCATAAATGTGCATAAACTGTAAAACACATTTTGTAGATATGTATAAATATAGAATGACTGTAGCCATATGACCCAACCTCGAACAGGCATATAAACAAGGGTAAACACACCAGGTAGTTGCCAGGTACAGGTTTGCATTGAAAAAAATGTATTATCATACAGCATTGTGTACTGATGTAAGCTGCTTGGTTTGTTATACTATTTATGCGTTGCTGAATATATGCTTTGTTGCCTGCAATTAAATTGATGCGTGAAAACATACTTGATTAGCATAATAGGCACAAAAACTTGCATGCAATAGAGTTATTTAGTCAACATTATAAAATATGGAATAATTATGTAAGTAAATATTTAGAGTCTCTATATGATATACCTATGATCAGTGCATATTCATTTTTCAGTAGAGCTATATAATTTTTTTGATAATAGGAATTACTCCCTTCGTTAAAAAATGTAAAGCATTTTTTGAGGGGTTGAATGTTAAAAAATGTATGGCATTTAGTCTTTCAAGGTGTAATCATTACATTTTTTTTCTTCAAAAATATCCCTATTGAATAAATCACTTTATATTTATTTTAGGGTGAAATGTCCTAATAAATAGGGATAGATATGGAAAGATAGGGTTTGTTTGAAAACGAGTAACTACTTTATTGGTAGGTGAGATTTAGTTAAAAATGCCTTACATTTTTTAATGGAGGGAGTATATAATTATCATGCGAAGCATATTCATAAAAAATGGGGAAAACAGCTAAAGCATATTTATATCTTGTATAACTATTTATCTACAATCATATAGAAAACTGTGTATGGGTGATTAGTAATTAATTTGTATATATATAATTTCTTAAGTTTTATAACTAGCCTTTATATTATTGTACACACACACGCACACATGTATTTATTTAAATGCATTAATAAAAATTTATTGGGGCTCAGATAGTGGCTGGATATTTTCTTTCACATAAGTTTGTTGAAATTCTGATCAAATTGGTTCTAATTGAATTTGGGCTTGGATACTAGCTCCATAAAAGATTGATTCGTTCACTTCCTTAATTATGAGGGTAAACCCTGTTAATCCAGTAAATAAAAGCTATATTTGTTGATACTCCTTTATGAGGAGATGCCCTGTTCGTTGGGGAAATATAAGTTAGCTTGGGTTAGTAAGGACAATGTATGATTTCATGATGGCTGTTGGAACATGTAATATATGGGCTAGCGACCTTTTAATCATGCTTCATAAGTTCATTTATCTGCTCTTTTTATTACTTACTTTCTCCGTTAAAAATATAAGATATTTTTTAAAAAATTGAATGTTAAAAAATGTTAGGTATTTTTAGTCTTTAAAAATGTAATCATTGCATTTTTCTCAAAAGTATCCCTAATAAATAAATTACTTTATATTTATTTTAGAGTGAAACATTCTATTAAATAGGGTTAAATATGGAAAGATGGTGTTGAATTAAAGACAATTAACTACTTTATTGGGAGATGAAATTCAGTTAATAATACCTTACATTTTTTAATGGAAAGAATAGTACTTGATCATTTGAAGCAATATTTTTGAAGCCGCTGTGGTGTTACAGGTTATAATTCTTGCACGGGAATCTGGTTTAAAGCTGGAACTATCTGATATTCCTGTCGAGAGCCTTGTACCAGAACCCCTAAGGGTAAAATCTAATTTCTGATGACAATAGAGTTATTGATTAAGTGTGTAATATCATACTTAACATGCTTGTTTTGATGTTTTCGTGCAGGCTAGTGTATCGGCTCAGGAGTTTATGCAACAACTACCTAAATTTGACGAAGATATGATAAAGAAACAACAGGATGCTGATAATGCTGGGGAAGTGAGTAATATAGATAGCATTAGAAGGAAACTAACTACTTAATTGTGCATGATGTAGTGGCAATGTGGTCAACAGTGTCAAATCTGGATCTCCTCTGTTGAGAGCATGGTAGATGTCATCCCCCAATACGTGGATCTCCTGCACTTACAGGGGGTCCAGAGTTGACATTGTTTTGTTAGCATGATTAACACCAGATTATCCTAGAGCATAGTTGTTGACGGCATGTGGCAGTGTTGCAAGAAGAGCTTTTGGAGCACATTGCGTTGGTAAATTCAAGAGCAAGGCATATAATTGTATTGTGCAAAACAAAAATAAAGGACAAATAAAACAAAACGTGCTGCAGGTCGGATGGGCAGTTTCTGATTTCCCTTGCATAACATACCGGATTGTTAAGAGTTCTAATAAATGTTAAACTAGAGGGTGAAGGATGCCAAGATATTTTACTTCTTCCTGGATTTACATATAGATAATGGGCAGAAGCATATCATAGCAATTGACTTAAATGTCCTTTTGTGTGCGTGATGTGGGGAGAGTGTTGGGCGTCTTGTCCTGTTCACCTGCCATTTGCTATGGATGCTTATATGTCATTAGTTATTTCATCGTGGCATCTTTCTTTTGTATTTTTTTGGTTCGGTATTTCATATAACGAAATCTCATGTATCTGAAGGTTTTGAGGTACGTTGGGGTGGTGGATGTGACTAATCAAAAAGGAGTGGTGGAGCTACGAAGATACAAGAAGGATCATCCATTTGCACAATTGTCCGGGTCGGATAATATCATTGCATTTACATCGAGAAGGTATAATAAGCAGCCTCTGATAGTTCGGGGTCCAGGTGCTGGTGCTCAAGTCACAGCTGGTGGCGTATTCAGTGACATTTTACGTCTTGCCTCATACCTTGGTGCCCCATCATAGGGTAGTCATTCTGCTAGCATTAATTTTGAATCCAAGTTGTACTTTTAGCCTTAGCCTTTGCTCTCCATGTTAGCTTGTTGGAGCTTGGAGCAACGTCGTACAATATATGTCTTGGCTTGTTCTTCGAATGGATAGGCCTTTTTCTTTTATTAATTTAGGCGTGCTATGTTGATTCCCTTGCTTCTTTAGGCATTGACAGATCTTGATGGGATTGTCTCCCTAATTTAAAACTAAAGTAGGCAACTAGAAGCATTTTTGTTTTGCATTACGTGGATTGTGTTGTTCATGTATTTTCAAATAACGTGACTTATTGTAGTGTTAACATTTTATATTAATGATGTAATAATAATTAAAATAGAGCTAGACCGGATGCGCATTCGGTCATCATTGTTGGGGCTAATCTTAGCCTTAAAATATTATAAATATTATATTTGTAAAAATAAAAATTATAAAAAAAATTAATATTAAATATGAACAACCTTCGTTTCTCATTAGAGGATGAGCACTGTAATAATCCTTCATTTCTGACAGGATCAGGATCTGAATAAATCAGTTTTAAGTTATCACCTCTGATAGAATATGGGCAGCCCATATTTAGGTTTTTATTTTTATTTTATATTTATCAAAATAAAAATGTATAAAAAATATCAAATTTTTAATAAGTTTGTTCATTATTAGTCTAGTCGGTACAAATTCAATTTAAGTGGTCTGATTTAATATTATTTTTTATAAATTGATTATTTATATATACTCTAAACAATATAAATATAATTTAAATAGTTTAATTTAATATCATGTTTTTTAATAGTTTTTACAAATGGACTGTTTAGATGTATTTTGGCAGTCTACATTTAATATTAATTTTTTTATTTTTTAAAAAATTATTTTTATAAATAGAATTTTTAAAATATTTAAAAATTAATTTAAAATCAACGACAAGGATCTTTTATAGTGAAATGAAAGGCCAGGATTAGCCCCAACAATGATGAGCATGTAATGAGCGCCGAATGCGTGTCCAGATGGTAAGACCTGCGTTTCATACGATAAGTCTGATAACTCAACTTTACGTAGTATGGGTTATCATGGAGTTATTACATAAATGATATTTTTTTTAATTATACAATTTTCAATAAAAATTATCCAGAATAATTTTTGTGAATGAATGTATGAGAATTAAAACTAAATATCACACAAACAATATTTTGAATTAAAGTTTATTTTTATCCCTAAACTATTTTTATAGGAGCACCCAATATTTTAAACTTCTTATTATAACAATGTTACTCTTAAAATAATTAAATTGTAACAATATTATCCTTAAAGTAATTAAATTGTAGCAATCATGCTACTGCCATTAAGTTTAAGTTAGTAAAGTTAGTGGTCAATGTTTACTCATTTAATGTCAAGTATAATATTGTTACAATTTAATTATTTCAAGGACAATATTGTCATAATAAAAAAATTAGTAAACTGGATACTCCTATGAAAATAGTTTAGGACAAAAATAAACATTTATCCTAATTTTTTTAATCAATTCCTTTTGATAAAAGGGTCTAAAACATAAATTTTTCATGCTTTATTTTATCACTAACTTTCATTATTAATACATATGATTAATTTGTTTTTAAAATTAAAATTCTCCTGTTCTTGCTTGATTTACGAAAATTTAATTCTTCTTATACAAACATTAACAAACAAGAAGAAATTCACTCAAATGTCTAGCTGCTCGGCAAGCAGACAAGAAGGATAGCTTGGCCATGAAAAGCAAAATCTGTCACGGTCATACTCAAATGTTTGAAGTTGGTGAATATTGATAGAGTATTAGTCACGATGTGGTGATTGTTGAGGAGGCTCCTGATTAAGCCTCCCTTCGCTTTGTAAACTTTTGCTCGCTTGTTTAGTATATGATTTCAGTTCTGTAGTAAAATAATAATAATAATAATAATAAGAGTACTTTTGTGTGATCCTTGATATGTCTTCATGTTTTCGATTCCTGGGTGCCAGCACTCTAGCCCCTGCCTAAGTAGTTCAGTACAATCGCATCATGAAAATATCAAAATAGAATATGGAGAGAAAGAACCGTTTTATTTACTTGACGACCCTAAATGCTGGATCAGTGGATCAGGATTTTCCTTCCCTATTTGAAAGAAGCATTGTGCTTGAATTACTTTCTAGTTCGATTTCTTCCAAGTGAATACATTTGAAGGTCTGGGTCAGTAGCTTAGCAAGACTGTGTTGTATGTGTGTCAAAAGTGTGTGTGTGTCAAAGTCCCACATTGATTAAAAGAAAGACTCTCCTAGTGTATATATACTAAGGAATGAAGTGGGCTAGTAAAATGGGCTTGGAAGAAAAGTGGCCTCGCGCACATGAGACAGGCCAACTCAGGGCAATCGCAGTTGAAATCAGCCGATTCGCCCCCCCTGCGCGCGAGTTCAAGAGGTAGTGGGTTCCTTTACGTTTGGTCTCCGTTGTTCTGTTCCCTCGTTCCACCGAGGAAGTGCTTGTTTAATCCTGGGGAATTGCCGGCCGTCTGAGGGTGTGCCGAAATAGTTCTTAAGGACAGTGTCCTTCTGGGTACGACTCAAGCAACCAGTCGGGAGTTTGCTGTTACACACGTTTGCCGCCGGTATTATTCAACAGACTGAAAACATCAACTTTACTAGTTGTAATTCAATTTCATGGATACATAAAAGCCTACAAATCTGCATAGGATTCAAATTTTATGGTCCGCACTGCGATCGGGATCCTGACGAAATGCTTGCCGTCTGTCCATATTAAGCTCCCGAATTTGTAATCTCCAGTCAACTTTTGGGTTGACACAAAAGTGACATTGTACGAAAGAACTGGGGTTGCTGAAGTGAAGCTCAAAAGTTGAGGTTTAACTCTAACTTTTGTGCCATATGGAGCCTTCACTATAGCTTTATAGGCTGCAGTTACATTTCCCACATTTGTCACCGTTCTCGTTACTGTTACTGTCTTTTTCAGATTTGGAATTGATATAGAGGGAAGATTCAGGTTCAGTCCTGGATTTTTCTCTTTTCCACAGCTTCTGATTGTTTTGGTGATTCTGCTGATTGATCCACTGCTATAGCTCAGAGAACAGAGGAACTGAATATATTCCTGGGACTTAACGTCATATAGGAGCCCTGGATCAATGGCTTTGTTAGGGTTCACTAGTCCACCCCCTATGTCAAATGGATCAGCTGCTTTACGAGTAGAACCCTCTTCAGATATAACGTCTCCATCAGTTGCAGTCTGAGAAGCTGCAATTTGCATTAGTAATTATAAATAGTTAGGTTTGGTCGAAGAATGACTGCAAAGCATTTGGTGGGATGGTTTCCAACTGGTTCACCTGTTGTTACAAGAGCTGATCTTATTGCTGCAGGTGACCATGTTGGGTGTTTTGATTTGAGGAGAGCTGCTATTCCTGCTACATGAGGACAAGACATTGAAGTTCCAGATAAGAAGGCAAATCCACTGTTTGGCGTCCTGGCTTTTGGCGGATATGCAGCTAAAATGTCCACACCTGGTGCAGCTATGTCAGGCTTATCATTGCCCGAGTAGAAGTTGATGATGGCACCATACAAGTAAAAACAGAGTGAGAGTAATGCCTTGTTAATTTATGGTGAGATGCTGATAAGAAAGTTTACTATATCAGAGTTGACTTCATAGACGTTTTCTAACTTCATTTGTCTCCCCTGAAAACATAAATTATACGCCTATGTGACTACAAGTTGTAGTGCCTTGGTATCTTGTACGCTTCTGGTTTTCTTTCTTGGGATGGTTCTCTCGGTTCATGTCACACTTTATTTGCAAGCGGCTGTTTTCTATTTTGACACCAACAACTGTGCCACGTCTTTTTGTTTGCTGAATGTTCAGCATGATTCATGAAGTACACGTAAATAAGATTGAAATCTGTTCTGTAAGTGAATGTCCCTTTTCTTGGTCTTTCTACGTCTCCCTCCTCTCTTTTTTTTCCCCATTTGTTTCCAGCGATCAACGAAGCGAAGAGGAAGGGCAAGTTGAAAACTCAACCTCTGCTTTTATCTTTGGAAGAAGTTGGTCATAAAGAAAACAAAATCTTTTTCTTCCCAGAACTATGAATTGCAAAGAGGGGTCAATTTTTTCTGGTTAAAAAAAAAAAAAAAAAAGAGGTGTCAACTTCTTCAATCATGTTCTAAAGCCTCTCTCTCGAAAACCCTTCAACTTTATGTTCACTCTTGTCTCCGTTTCATAACAGATTGGCCTTATTAAAACAAGGGGGAAATGTATGCCTAATAACTAAGAATTTGAAGTCCTGGGAAGTGTGAATACCTTCAGCACGGTTGGAGATATGGTACTTGGTCCTCTAGATGAGAAAGACGCTACTCGAGGAGATGCCCATTTTCCAATAACGGTCTTTGGCAAACTCAGTTTTGCAGTTGGGAACCTTCAACGTATCCTCAAAATCAATTGTTAAACTCTGAAAAAGATTCAGCAAGTAATGTCGTCAATTCATTAACGGTTCCTCACCTTGCCCTTCTGATGTAGGATATGATTTGTGTTCCGACTTCATAATCTACTTTAATACATGGAATCAAACCGCATTTGCTGAGCCCATCCTCATGAAATTGCGCATATATTAGTCCAACTCCACCTGCCTTTTGTACTGTGATTGATGCAGAAAGGATATTCTGTTGGTCTGATTCCGAGAGGCATAGAACAATTTTGCCTGCTGCTACTGTTGCATTCAGACTTCCAGGCTGGCAGTCCTTGCTAGAAAGAAAGATATGGACTGTTGTGACAAACTTAAATGAATGGGACAACAAGAGTAATTTAAAGTTTAGTCCCATATGTTCTGACCTGAAACAAATTCCTTCTCTTGTGGTTCAAAGGGTATCATTCAACTTCTCTGCGGTCTGTTTAGTACTTGACCACCTTGTATTTTCTGTCATAATTTTGACAGAAAACATAAAAGACTATTAGGGAGTTGAACGAAACACTTTAAACCACATAGAGGCAAACAGGTTATGGGCCAAACTGTCTCAGGAAAATAAAAGGCAAAAATGGATAAATGCGCAGGAGGGTTCTTACGCCAAATCATCTTTTGGATCTAGCGCTATGCGTTCAGAGTATGTAAGCCCTACAAATCCAATATCACGTTCCCCAGTATCTATGGACTGTCCCTGCGTTAGATCAATGCTCACTGTGTTACATTTTAATCAAGAGTGCCATTTCATTGATTTGGTTTGAAAATGGTTGATCATACCCAGAATGTGTGGTTATTTCCTAGAGTAATGGCTGATGGAAATCCCCTGTCTATTGTGGTGGCTGCAACTGTAATTAGCCAAGGTGCAGTATTTGTAATGGTTTGTGATTTGGGGCCATCATTCCCAGCAGAACAAACAACTGTGATTCCCTTGGCAATTGCATGAAAGGAACCGATGGATATTGTATCACGTTGATCAACATATGAGAACAAAGGAACATCAATGCCTAGAGAAATAGACAAGACATCTACTCCATCTTGTATAGCCTTGTCAAAAGCTTTTAGGACATCAGCATCTGTGCAACCTCCAACAGGCATGCCCCAGCAAGCTTTGTAGATTGCTAAGTGAGCCAAAGGGGCACCTCCTCTGGCTAAACCACTTGCAAGTCCGCTATAATTTGCTTTTCCTACAAAATACCCTGCTGCTGTTGAAGCGGTATGAGTGCCATGACCAACACCATCTCTTGCTGAGAGAAATTCATTGCTGTTATTTGAATGGATGAGCTTCTTAGTCTGGTTTGGTATTCCTTTTGCAAACCATCGAGCGCCAATTATCTTCTTGTTGCAGTTGGTGGAATTGAAGTTCTGTCCGCCTTGGCAAATGCCTTTCCATCGTGGCGGGATGGGACCCATTGCTTCGTCGTTAAAACTTTCAGACTCAGGCCAGATTCCTTCAAGAAACCAAATTCATCTTAGTCTATTTGTTGTGTGTTCTAGTTTATTTCTCTGTTTTTATGAAAGAGGATAGTTAGTACCTGAGTCTATGACACCTATGATGGTTCCTTGACCGAAGCTGCTTCCTGTAGAAGCAGTTCTTGAGAAGGGGTGGCTAATCCCAATAAAGTCCCAGCTTCTGGTTGTATGGAGTTTGAGAATACGATTTGGAATGACATGGACAACACCCGGAAACTCTACACCAGATAGTTCATTGCTATTAAAGGTGATGAAATGGATTGCATATCAAAGGTTCAAATGAAAGTAAACGAAATACTTGCAATTTCTTCTGCCTGAGATTTTGTCAATCTTGCAGCAAACCCAGAAAACCCGTGCTTATAGCTGTAAAGAATTGAGGTTTTTGCTGCTTCTTTGCTTCATTGCAAAAGCGAAACACTTGCCGTTATTATTATCTTCGTGGCTCTCATTGAAAAAAGAATCAGGAATTCGAGTCATACCTTCCTAACAATGAAGTTAGCATTTTGTGGTGATACTTTTTTGTAGTTTTTGGATCATCATATATCTTATCTCCCATATACACGATGTGAACCTGTAAGTATCCCTTTGATTAGTAAGCATGCATGCTCAAATACAGACTTGGACGTAATTGCAGAGATAGAAGCTAAGTTGCACTCACACTATTCTCTGCCTCAGCAAATATCTCACAAATGATAAGACAGTTTTGGAGTAAAAGAAGGGCAAAAATTACAAACAAGTGGCTTTTACTTGCGCATCTCCAGTTTCTTGGATTGCTATCCATTATAAGAGAGAAATTCAAAGGCTTCAGAAAATTTAGAGCATGTTGAGAGTTGCAGCAATTTCTTGTGTTTTATAAAATTGACTTCCCATTATGTGTGATGTTTATAGAACTTTATGGAAGTGACAAAAGATTATGTCCTTTTCTTTTATCTGGTTCACTTTTGCACTTTATGTTCAATCAGAGAAAAAGCAAGCGGAAATACTCTTACAAGCAGAATGTATTTGCAGTGCAAAATATGACGGTATACAGATACAACTTCATGGTAAGTTATCAAAGCACTGATTGGGAATATATATATATATATATATATCTTTTGGCTCTGCTATTTTTTAACAATAAAATTGACCGGTATAATATTTTTTGTTGCTCTTAAATTAGAAGTGAATTTTAGAGGACGAGATTTTACAAGAGGATCATTACAAGTTGCAAGACATTATTTCAAACAGTACTGGAGTCCATTTTGAAAGTTGTCCACCTAGATGCTTTTCAAGGTGGTGTTGTACCAGAAAACCTCTCCATGTTGAGCACTGCGACATTATTATTTTCTTTCATTTCATTTTGTAGCCATCAGTTGTATGCATCATGGTGGGTTCATTTCAACCTCCTCTTTCTGAGATTCCCATTTCAACTTTTGCTTTTCCGCCTTATCCAATCACAGTACAGTCATGGGTGGGGAATCAGCATAATATTTCTTTCAGGGAAAAGTAAGATTGCCCTCTCAATGTGCAAACCCCACTACAATTTCAATTTCAAAGGGCCTAGATGCTCAAGCTTCAGAAAGCTGGCTTCTCAAAAAAGGTTGGAAGTGATTATAATATGACTTAATTTCAAGTTTCATTATCAGGGTTTGTTTCCAATTTCCATCACAGGCTGCATGCAGTTCTGATATGTTATTTGGATGAGGAAGTGGCACAGTGACGAAGAGGAAGACTGGTTGAAATAGAAACGTGCACCCACAATGATTAGATCTTTCTGGATTTTCCAGTTCTTATGTAAATGTAATCATAGTTATGTTGTTTTGTCCCAAGAGATAAACCCTGCTTATGTTTCCGTCCTCGCTTATTGGATTTAGGAAATCATGCATTACGTACAGACATATCTGACGTGTTAAACACATTATTTATTAATAAAATCTATCTTCCCTATGATTACATTTGTTATAATTATTTGAATTAATTATTCTCTATTGTAAACCAAATTTACCTGCAAATAAGTACCGTATAATCGTTGTTTTGAATTTTGTTAAGATGTCTTAGATTGATATTTCTTAAAATTTATTTTATCAGCAAATGAATGATTGGAATCATTGTAGTCACGCATTTAGAATAGAAGAATGGCACGAAAATAATATTTGAGATTTAGTTTCTCTTTTTGTGTGTTTAATCATACTGTAGACTGCAAGTAATTCGAATTGCAAGATTTATTAATATTTTATTAAAAATACGAATTACGTGAGCATTACCTACTCTTTGTCAAGTTGCTGAGGCCAGCCTAACCACAACTAAAACTGCCTTCAAATGACGAGGCGCACACGTGTTTCTTCTGAAATAGCTGGAACTGAATTGTGGCGGAAACGCTAGTTCATTAATTAATTAATTAATTAACAAAGCTCAATTTTATGTGTATTAGTTGGTATGGCAAAACAAAACAAAAAAAAAAACAAAGAGAATAACAAAAGGACTTGATAAAGTTGGCGCTAATTCAATGGAAGAGAGTGAGAGTGCAAGTAGAAGCTCAACATGGACATTGTTGGTCAGCCCATTATTCTTGCCTCAATCTATGGATCATTGGATTGATCCATTAATTAATTCAAACACGCACGTTGTTGAGGCACCTACCACTCCACAAGGCAATCTCTTCTCTCTTCTTTCTTTTTTTTTTTGTGTATTTAAACTCTTCTTTTCTAATTACACTGATCATTTTAAACGCAGGTCCAGCATCACCGTAAACAAAATTGAGAGAATGACACTGTTAAATCGAGGAGGAGATTTTCCCTTTTGTTTTTTTTTTTTGGGCTTTCTGATGGGGGGTGATTGGGGGTGGTCCAATGAGACAGAAGTGATCAAATGTGATAGTAAGACAATAAAAAAGTAATTTTTGGGAAGAAAATAAAAAATGTACTTGAAAAAGAGGTGTTTATATTTTTCATTTAATTTTTTTAAAAATCCTTTCAACCTATAAAACATTGTATAAGTAACCAGAAGAACTAGCAACTCATGGACTAATGGTCTTCCAAAAGAGAAACGCAAAAACAGGTGTCCACGATATATGTTGCTGCACACAACTACCAAATCCATCTTCTCAAATAATAAACAATAATGTGGCAAGAGGACGTGACATGATGAAACGTTGCTTAAAAGGTAAAATCCAGCAGCATACATCCAACCCAAACCATCTTACAAAGCCATCTGCCTTAAACAAAGCAGAGGGGGAGGGGGAGGGGGAGGACCCCACACCATGTGCCCTTTCATTTCTCCAGAAAAGTCATCCCTGCTTTTCCTCAGCCTCTTTCATGAATAAAGCTATTACCCACTTTTATCTGTAAATCCTTCACTTATTGGTGTGAGAGTGAGGCCCTTGTTACTTTCCCCGCGCATCTTGACGCAATTCTCCGCTGATTGTGGTTCACTTACGCGCTTTTGGCGGTGATGCCCTCAAATTTGATCTCAAAACGCTTTCTCGAAGCATGACTAATATCTAAGGTTTTAAAAACCAAACCGGTCATTGAACCAAACGAGACACTGGTTCACGGTTTATTGGTCGAACCATGATCGAACCGGTTGATATTAAATTAATATATTTTTAATTTATATATCATAATTAAATAAAAAATACATTTAAATATGCATTTTTTCAAAAATATATTATAGATGCTTGATAATATAATTTTTTTATTAATAAATACATAATTAATATTAATTATAACTGAAGCTTTTCATTTAAATATCAAGAAAGATGTAATTTAATTTTAATTTTAATTTATTTTTTTATTTTTTTTAATTTTTTCCGGTTCTTTCATGAAAACCGGTCCGGTTTTTGACCGATTTTACCGATTCTCTGCTAACCAGTTTTTAAGGGTCGACCGAACCGCACCAGGAGCCGGTTCCCGATTCAACCGGTTGAACTGACCGGTTCGATCCAATTTTTAAAACCCTGCTAATATCACTCCACTAATCTCATTGAAAGCATTAAAATATACTTTTATCTCGTAAAAAGAATATCATACATACAATTCACATTCCTACGGGCCCTTCCCACCTCCAGCTCCCCCCCCCCCTTCAAAACAAAACCTTTCCACTAAATGAAGACTCGGACACAAAAAGTCAAACTAAGACATACCCGGGTTTTTTCTTGCGTAGACTCCCAGAACACCCGCAAAAAAATTAATTAAAATGATAAACTTATTTCAAATAATTAAAAAAAAATCGTGATGCTACTATTTGGTGATGCTGCTAGATCAAGCAGCCTGACGGCCTTCGGTTTTCATTGTACGTCCTTTGACCAAGCGAAAAGTGCCTAGATGATGTCTCTTCTCGGGATCCCAATCTTGTCACCTGCAATCCATTGAACCAAAGGAGTCTGCAAATCCCGAAGGTTTAGAAGGGATGCTTGATTGGGTTTGTGAGAGGGACATGTCATTGAACATTGTAGAAGTGCCTTCGTTGGCTTGCCATCTTTGCAGAGCTTGAGGTAGGCTCATGTGTAGGTCAATTCCATAACTTTCTTCTTCTTCGTGGTTAGTTGGTTTCCACTGCTCCACGAGAGGAACCAGCACATTCACTGCATGGCCCATGTCTGGCCTTTGGTATGGCTCGCGAGCAGTGCAGTGCCCTGCAAGCTCGGCCACCTTATATATGCTCTCCATTGTCTCCTCGTCCGGGTCTAAAGTTTGATCAATAGCCTTCGGGATGTTCTCTTTGTTGATTAGAACCCTGCGGAACCATGACACTAGGTGAGACCTTTCATCTGGGACAGTGTCATCCAATGCCTTTCTACCAGTGATCAGTTCCATCAAAACAACTCCAAATGCATAAACATCGACTTTGGTTGTCACTCTTCCAGTAGCTGGCAACAAAAACAAGAAATTCATTAACTGCAAGTAAAGGAATTTTGAGTATCATTCTTTTTGGGCTTTTACATGGCTACATGTGCAATTGTACAAAAGGAGAAGATATATTCTCAAACCAGAAGTGAACAGGATGAGTTTCACGATGCACAAATTGTAACGCAGGCCGAATTAATCCATCTTACCATTAGCGAATAAAAAAGTACGGTCACAAGGATATAACGAGGTATCATGAAAAATGTGACCATGTAAATGCCCCAATTATTAGTATGCATAAGGAACTGTTATCTAAACCTCCAAAAACACAGCAATCCATGGTTATTATCAACCGGAAGAATTGATCACATCAAAACGAATACTTAACATATACAATTATGGCACATCATATAAAATTCCCCGAGCCATCTACCAAGGAGAATCACAGGACACAAAATGGTGCTAAAAATAATTCATGAAACGTAAGAGAAAATGTAAAGAACTAGCCACAAAGCAGAAGTCAAAAGAACAACTAGTAGCCACGTTATTTAAGAATCCAACATGAATTCTTGCTTCTTCCAATGATAAGGTTTCTCCTCCTTTACTGAAATACACAAGGCTTGCCAAGCAGAAATCATGAAGCTGTACCAAAAGTTATAACCGAAATAATGAACAAATAAAAACCATAAAAATAAAATACAAGCTGAAATTTCCTACCTGCATATTCAGGTGCAAGATACCCAAAAGTTCCAGCCAAACGGGTCTCAACAGAATACTTTCCGTCAGGTGCATTTTTAACCAACCCAAAATCTGCGACCTTTGCTCTCATGTCATCACCTAGAAGTATGTTTGAAGGCTTCAAGTCTCTGTGAATGAAGCTTTGTTGAGCTAAGCTATGCAAATATTCCACTCCCCTTGCCACATCCAAAGCTATTGCTACCCTTTGCTTCCAAGTCAGAGGAGTGCACCCCTTCTCACGCCATTCAAAAAGATGCTGTGTTAGTGTGCCTTGAGGCATGTACTCATAAACTAAAAGCCTTTCATTGCCATTAATGCAATATCCTAAAAGAGCAACCAAATGCCTGTGCCTGACTTTAGTAAGGACTGCAATCTCTGCTTGGAATTCATTCAATCCTTTGCTTCCCATCGCAACAGATTCCATCCTCTTCACGGCAATTTTTGTTCCATCATGCAATTCCCCTTTGTAAACAACACCAAATCCTCCCCTGCCCAAAATGTTATCTTCACTGAAATTATCCGTTACTTGGCGAAGAACTTGAATCGAAATTGTAGCACTGCCACCATCAAAAACATGAAGGTCACTACGGTCGCCACTGCTCTGGCTATGTAACTCGCTAGGAACTCCAGCATATCCATTGGAAACACCCGATACATCAATTTTAACATCTCCCTTTCCATTTTCAGGATTGCTAACCCTTCCAAATTTCTGATGACGATTTTTTACATAACATTTACAAGAGACAAACAACACCACCGCCACAAAAAATAGGACAATAATGACTATACCTGCAATCCAGCCAGATGACAAGGAAGTGCTAGTTCCCTTTCCAGATGGACTTCCGGCCGGTGAAATATCACCAGAACCTGTGGTAGGACTAGTTCCATTTACTCCTCCTCCGGAACCAATAGTTTTTCCAAGCAAAAGATTGCCAGTAGATGTCAGCTTCACCTTTGATGAGAACTTGGGAACCTTTCCAGATAGATTGTTGTTAGATACATCAAGAATCTTAAGTTGAGGCAAAGTTGTCAAGCTCTCGGGTATTGAGCCAGTCAAATTATTGCCATTCAGATACAAGTTCCTTAAATCCGTTAAATTTGCAAATGCAGGTGAAATTGTTCCCCCGAAATTCTGCCTCGCCATATTCACCGTGGTAATCTTTCCATCTGTGCACACAATGGAACTCCAATCATTGCAGGGGTCATTGCCATCCCATGAATCTGCCAACTTAATCGGATACCCAAAAGCTGCAGCGATCTCAAGCAACGTCGTAACACGATCATCACAAGATCCCTGACTACTCTTACAAAAGCTATTCCCCTCAAGAGTAACCTGCACACCTTTGCCAAACTCAGGCATCGGGCCCTGCAGCTTATCATTGTCCAAAGAAACGTTCTGCAAGCTCGAGAGAGACATCAAAGAAGGTGGGACTACACCAGTTAACTGATTGTCCCGAAGCTGCAAATCAAACAAACTCTTGCAGTTGGACAAGTCGGGAATGGGACCTGTGAACTGGTTCTTCTGAAGCCAGACCTGAGACAACTGGGGCATCGATGATAACACGTCGATTGTACCGGATAATCCATTGACTTGATTGTTAAGCCATAAGTTTGCAATTTCAGATCCATTAAACGAGGCAGGCAACCCACCAGTGAGGTTGTTGTAAGAAAGACGCACCTTCTGCAAGCTCGGTAAGGAGTCAAAAATATCTGGCAAAGAACCCACGAGATTAGAGGTTCCGAGATCAAGAGTCACCAGATTCGAAGACTGGGTCAAATCAGTCGGAAACGACCAGGGTGCAAGGTCGGCGTTGTTGCTCAAGCTGAGGGTCTGCAAGCTGGTGAGCCCTTGGAAGCAACCTTCAGGAATGGAGGTGAAATTGTTGGAGTCAAGAAACACACTTTGAAGGGACGAGAGATTTGCCAGAGACGGTAAAGGACCGGAGAGGGCATTGTCCTGAAGAGAGAGGGAAGTTAGCTGAGAGAGAGAGTTGAGATCAGAAGGAAGAGTGCCAGAAAGAGACTTGGAAGCAAGGTTGATAGAGGTGACGCGGTTGGAGCTGTCACAACTGACGCCGTCCCATTTGCAGACAGAGGTGCTGCTGGACCAGCCGGAGGGATTGGAGAGGGCTTTGGCGAGCTTAGACATGAAAGCTGCATCATCGGCTATGGCGAAGGAGAGGAGAGAGGAAATGAGTATAGAGAGAGAAACTAGGGTTTTCAGTTTCGGGTGAGCCATTTGAGATCTGGAGAAGAAGAGACTGGGAAGAAGAGAAGATAGATATTAATGCCTGTGTGCGCGTTTGTGCGTACAAGCTGTGTATGTCACAGAGAGAGGAGGGAGGGAATTTTGGACGAGAGAAATTGGCCGGGTGTGGGTAACGGTGATGGACTATTGGGTGGTGGTGGGCCCCATTATACTCATGTGGCAGTTATGGAAGTAATGGTCACTTTTGGGTTTATTCTATTTCATCTATATTTGTTTCTTGTTCTGTTTTAATTTTAACGATAATTTCGTAATTTAGTTCTTAAAATCTTATTATTTTTAACTCGACATATTAAAAAATAAAATTTTCTAATTTAATCTTCGGTCATTTGTCTAGTTGAAATTAAAATGACCATTGGTGTTAAGCAAAAGTACAGTAGCTTCACAAACTAACAAACAAGTTATAAACAGATTCGTAACTTTTTTTTTTTTAATGAAAGATCCGTAACTAATAATCGATCCTCTTTTATTTCATTTGTTAATTGTTAAATCCAGTGAGACTTGAAATATTGTTTTAAAAATGGCACCTTGAATTTAAACAAAATTATATCAACAAGTGGAAATTAGGAATGCTAATCGTCAATAATCATCGCATGAATTTTTTTTCACGTTATACAACTAGTTGATTGAGTTAAAATGATTGTATCGAATCAAAGAAAAAAATTTAATTGACAGGCTTTATAAATTTAGATAATTTTGTTGACATTAAATGTAGATATTAAATTATGATTGTAATGCATTAAGCGCGTTGGGTTTTAGAAAGGATATAGCGCTAACCCAGGAGAAATTATGTTTTCCCTTTTATAAAAAAAAAAATCCTGAAGTAATTACGTTGGCCAAAAAAAAAACGATGCCGCAAGTAATGATGAAATCAAACAGGAAGGTGATATGATTTTTGATGTATCCCGAGTGAGATTCGATAGTATCGTTCTTTGCTGGTCTTATTCGCAACAGCAGTTCGCGGGTGATTTTCAGCGGGGCGGAATAATGAATGAGAAAGGAACTGTGATTTCTGGGGCAAGAAAAACGACTGAGCAAGCATTGCAAGGGACAAGAAAACAATTTAGTAGATTTGAGGTCATTTGTTGGCCGTTCAATTCCTGAAAATGGCTCGTTGATAATTAAAAGTGTTGCAGAATGTGTGTGTGTGTGTGTGTGTGTGTGTACGTGTCGACACAATCATATCACGGACAAGTGGCAGGGGAGGCAGGCTTGGAGTAAATGAGGAAGGATTGTTTGTTTTGTGTTTTCATGTGACGAGAAAACAGCACTTTCAATTGTCACTTCCAAACCTATTTATAACAAATAATTTATGATTAAATTTTAACTGCAGAGCGTTTTTCATAAATAGATGAGGGGAGAGTGGTAAAGAAAACAAGCTGCGGAAGGGAGAGGCCAAATCTCGCGGGAAGTGGGATTACCAGAGGAGTGAGGATTATGAACAGCTATCAATGATTGATCTGTTATCTCGGTTAAAATATGTGACGTGTTCTTTTTTAATAGAGGCCAAAGGGCGATGCGTTGTTAAATTGAGGACACCCAGATTCGGTAAGAATAATGTTTGTTACAAAAGAAAAAGAAAAACATGAAGAGTGGCGGAAAATGAGCTGGAGATGAGGAAGGAGTGGGACCGGGAATGCCAGCTGGGAGTGAGTGGACTGAGCGCGGATATTAGTTCACGGTCGCACCCTCCCTCCCTCCGCGTAAACTAAACGGCTATAGTTTCATATTGCTTCCCTAGTCTTTTTCTTTTCTCTTTCCCTCCTTTCTTTTTATTCTTTTGCCCCTTTATACACTCAATAGTCTCAAATAGACAATTTCAAAATAAATAATAAATAAAAAAGTGATTATAAAAATCATTGGACATGGCTTCATCCAATTTCATATTTTACTATCATTTTAAATTTTTCCTAGATTTTAATTATCTAAAATTTTATGTACTGTAATATTTTCATTATTTTTACACTTTTTACTAGCGAGACATTTCTATTCGTCCCACCACTTCTCACATTTTTTGTTTTCGTCACTCACTAGTTAATTTATAGAAGTAAGCTAGTCACTTTCAATCTCACATCTCCCTTTTGAATCTTATCTTATTTCTCTTACTTTTAAATTTTGTTACGTTGTTTAAATAGAGAATTTAAAATATGTGAATTTTAAATCCAAAATTAAAATTAAAATTCATCAATTCAAATGCTATGTTAATCTATTCAACCTATAATTACAACTTTATATTTTACTATTGGACAATATTTATGTATTTAACTTTTTATACTTAATATATACTTTTATTCAATCAAATTAAGACATGTGAATTTTAATATATTAATAATATTATTAATAACAAGAAGAATCTGTTATGTAATAAATAATTTATAAAAGCTGCATATGTTTTAATTTAATTAAAAATAAATATTTTAAATATATAAGGATAAGATATAAATTTTCACCCATAGTATTTTACACATGCTAGTGCCTATTTTGGCAGACTGGTTTTTGCTTTGGAGTGAGACTGGATCAAACTGGGCTCTTGCTTTTGGACGTTTCATGTACAAAACAGCGCAACCAGGTGAGCTTGCCCCGTATCCAGTTCCAAAACCTTGCTACTTTCACGTTTCACCCACGCCTGTTATTCTCCTCACTTCCATGTCAGGCTATCAACTCGCACATCTATTTTTCAATTCGAAACACCTTATACTGTGATGAAATATTTTCAAAATAAAAATATAAGTATCTTGAAAACTCATGTCTTCATAAATTAACATATTTTTATGCGATATTGTGTAGGGAATTGAAATATTAAAGGTCTTCAAAATTGCGTCTTTATAATCTTTAAAAGCATATACATTTGAAAAGTTGCTAAATAAGATCATAACGTTGACAACCAGCACCTGTGAAAGAAAACATTGTTGGAGAAAATTCTGCATATTAAAATAGTGTAACTTTTCACAAAAACTATACTTCATCCCGCGTATTGCACTGATTTTACTCGATACAATTGAATGAAGTGTCTGATATCTTAATGTTTTGAATTTAAAAAGAATTAATAATGTCCTCTTGTTAAATTAATTTATCAACATTAAGTTGCATTTAAAAAAAAATTTCGGAAAATAGTAATAATGTACTTGTTGACGGTATTTGTAATTTTTTCTGCTTGATTTTATTTATTGTTTTGATTTCATGTTTATAGAGTATTTTCATGGAAATCATCACACAAATTTCTTCCATCCAGACTGTATACATGTCTTATATCTTATATGTTCCTTTTAGATTGTGTAAAATGCTGGTTTGATTTTAAAAATCTTAGTTGGCTCATGTCTGTTGCAAGGATTGCAAGTGAGAGTAGGCATCTACTTTTTTTGGTCTTCATTTTAAGAAAAAATATAATTGTTGGTCCCTGTAAGTTTATCGTATCTTACTTTCAGCCCCTCTAATTTGTTTTCAGTATCTCTAGTCCTTATAATTCCTATAATTTAACATCATTAGAGAGCTGAAAAATAAATGTCACTCAATTTTGTCGAAACTATGATAACTAAAAATTCTAGAAAAAATCTACAGGAATTAAATTCAAAACCTAATAAAATTATAGAGATCGATGATTTTGTTTTTTCTTATTTTAAAAGATAAATTGTTGGAAGTAGCATGTACTCCTCTGATCCTATTTATAAGTTACATTTAACATGTTTCACCAGTATTAAGAAAAATTTTAAAACTCATTAACTATGTCTTAAAATTTAATACATTTTCAACTTTGCCCCTATTAAATATATATACTTCAATAATATATTTTATCTCTCCAACATTCAATAAAAGATAAAAGAAAAAATTTATAATAAAAATTTAATAACATGATTTATAAGTAAGACAAAAAAAAATTCTTCTCTCTCTGCTCTATAAATAGACCAAAGGGAATAGTTTTTAACTACAAATCTTATCAAGTATTTATAAGCTATTTCATCACACTTCTCCCCCAAACCCATTTACTAACCCATTTAATTCTTTAGCATATATACATTAGGAGCTTTACTCATATGTGTAATGTGAGATTTTTCCCTTTGACACACTTACACAAGAATTACAACATAAATATCTGCTCATTAAATAAATTAAAGATCATTCACTTTAATGTTGAAAGAAAATTTGGGTCCCTTTGTTTTAAATTATTTCATGAAAAGCATCACTTATTTTTGAAAAAAAAATATCTATTTGGTGAGTTTTTATTATATTTGTTTAAACTTTTAAAAATAATCAAAATAAAAAAATAAAGTTTTGATTATTTTAAAAAGCTATTTTTAGTAGCTCCTGAAAATAATCTACTAGAATAAATGAGGGAGAGTGTTTTAAAGAAATGGAATATGTAAAGATATTATAAAAATTTTAAAATAATATAATAATAAATTATTTTTATAAAATAAAAATCAAGAAAAATATTATAAAATTTAAAAATAAGTAATTAATAATTAATTTTTTATTTTTGTAACGAAATAGAAAATAATTTTTGTATAAAATATCTAAACTATTTAAAAATTATTTATTTTTAAACTTTAAATAAAGGAGGCCTTCGTTAGTGAAATTGATGGATTGTTTTATTCTCAACAAACAAGATATTCTTGTACCTTTTTTTCCCCATTTTTCATCATCAACTTTTCATTGTACGAAATTACTTTATATATTGCAGTTCCATTTTTCAAGCAAAATTCTTTGAATCATTCCTTACAAGTTAGACATAATAAAATAATTCCGTTTACATTGGAAATCTTAGTATAATGAATGTTATTAAACATATTTCTATTTACTCCCCATATTTGTCGGACAAAAAAAAAACAACAGTTGTCTAAATAACTTTCATTTTATGTCAAAATAGGAAATAATTCTTTATTTAATCTGTTTTCTAAAGAAATTTTCCGCATTTCATAAGATTATATGAGAGATCTAAAATGATGTTGAAAACATTTTCCGGCTCCGTACATTTTGCTTTCCACTAATCCCTTTCCGGTTCCAACTGAGAAACCGATACTTCAAACATAAGCAACTTACCAGTTTACATTATTTAACACTTGGCGTTTCTATTCTTTGTGTTATTCGCACAGGAAATCTTCAGGTTACACTCTGTTTCCGCAAGTTGCAAGGTGTTCGTTGGCGTTGGCGTTTCCCGTTTAATTTGTTGTTTTGCTTTTCTCCGTCTTTTTTTAATGACTTGTTTATGGGGACATTCCTCGAAAAAACACTAACTAATCCACCTATCAGGAACCAGATTAAATGGAAACATCCATCGTTTCTCTCAGTGAGTCATGCAATGAAGTCAGAATAGCAGTCTCTGTCATTCAATTGTTCAAAATCATGCATAAAACGGACGCCAGTTAAGCGTTCTCTCTCAACTATGTTCTGATGGATAGAGAGGTCAGACTCGTATTATATAAAGGGGAGAGGTTTGGTGCTATATGAGATAAATATTATTAGGATTTAATTTAAAATATTAGGGTTATCCAGAGCAGAGAGTGTTTTAATTTTTATTAAAATGTAAAAAAATTACAAGCCTAGATTGAAAGTAAAAGCTAATTAATAAAACTAAAGGCTAAAGGTGCAAAATACAAATCTTTGATTGGATATTGACTTTCTTTCTTATATGTCTTCGTCTTCTATTTATAGTGTTAGAGTAGTGGTAACCTCTCCCTTAAAACCTATAACGTTTTGCCGAATAATCAAAAATCTCACAAAACTTATGGCACGGTCTTTATTCTATGTTTTCCATTTTTAATTTACTGAGATACTTGAGCATAATGTCCTTAGTTTTTGAAATCACTTGGAATTGTATCTTTATATGCCAACAGTTCAATGCTTGGAACTGACAAGATTTCGACATGTTTATTCCATCACGGCCTTTTATTGAGCTCGGGGCCGGCCTCTTTATCCAGATTGGGTCTGACTCCTCGATTACTCAATTGAAATAGCCTTGTGATTTATTTGAGTTATGTTTTATATTTTAGCCCTAACAATATAAAAATTATACTATTTTTAAATAATTGTTTTTGTATTAGTTCTTTCATTGTTTTTTTTTTGGCTTGTTAATAGTGCATAGTTTTTGTATTAAAGGTATATTTATATTTATAAAATTTTTATCAAGGATAATTTTTAAATATTTTTTTATTGTTTGTTTAATACACAAAAGGCTACTTTAGTTGATAAAAAATAATAAAACTATAGTTTCTATTTCAAGTTGCATTGACAGTGAATATGGAGAATAAAGTCGCTTAAATAAAGAATGAGAGCATCGCGGTGTGTGTTAAAAATAAAAATTATAATTTTATTTCTTCTTAAATTGTGTTAAAAAAATCAATAAAAATATTTTTCCCTTATCATGTACTATATGTGTTTCATTAATCTGACATAACAAATTTTATTAAATATATGGACAAAAATATTAGGAAAGTTGGTTAAAAGGGCTTCCTTAAAATTGAAATTGGTCCCAAGAACCAGTATACTTTAAGGATCAAGCTTATTTGTTTATTCATTTGATAATGTTGTCATCTGACCAAAATGCCTCCGTCTTAAAAAAGAAATTCAAAAAAGAAAAACACATTTTCTTCTCCAGTTCTTTGCACAATTTTGAGAACCACAAGAGTTGAGATTGTTGTGTAACAGTTGGCAGGAGGGGATGGCTTCGATGAAAGAGCAACGACAATTTAAGGTATGAGTGAGTCATTGGTGATAAGTTTTGAGGGAAAAAAACCCATTGAAGAATCAAACGATCGAAAAACCAAAGAGACGAAGTGATGGTCGAGCTACTATGACAGACAGTGTCAATGGTAATAGCAATATAAACACAGTCTCTTGCGCGGTCGCGCCCTCACACCCATTTTTTTAACCTCTAATCATCTTAATTCTGAAATTCTGATGCGAATGGCAATAGCGGAAATTCCAGCTCATGTTATCATTGCTTCTTCCTAAATCGAATCAAGTCCTTTTCTTTTTTCCTTGATTTTTCTGATTCATTCTTCAGCACACTGAAGCAACGTGTTGAATTATAATTCTCCCCTCTTGCGTCAATTTTGCTTTACACCTTGAGTTAAAAATTAATTTCATCTTTTATCATTTCTTTGTAAATTTCAAATCTTTTAGAGTTTAATTTCATGGGTTTTAGCATATTACTATCTTATATCTTCAGCTTTTAAAAATGCTATTGCTTTTATGCGCGGGGTTGTAACAATTAATTTAAAATACAACAGAGCTAATCCCCTCCCCCTTGGGTCCACGAAAAGCTGTAAAGCCCTCACAGTCACAGACACTCATTATTGGAGAGGGAGAGAGTACCGAATTAATCTAATCACCCTTCATTCTTACTCGTAACGAAAAAGAAAGAAAAACTAGTAATTAACAATTACTGGGTGCTGCACTCAGCTGATCCAACAAGGCCCTGAGATTTCTATCAGAGGAACCGCCTTCCTCCATGGCTCCCCTCGACGCCTCCCTCCATCTCGCCACGTTCTTCCTCACCTCCTTCCCTTTCTCTCCATTCCCCATCACCTCCTCCACGCACCTCCTTATCTCATCCGCCCTAGCAATTCCGCCGCCGCCGCCGCCCGCCACCTTCACCCTCACCCCTGTTTTCCACACTTGCTCCGTCAACATGGAGTTTGTGGTCTGATCTCCCCACTGAGGCACCCCCAGTACCGGCACCCCTGCCGCCAAACTCTCCAAGCTCGAATTCCATCCGCAGTGCGACACGAAACACCCCAACGACCTGTGTGAAAGTATCTCCGCCTGTTTGCACCACCTCACTATCTTCCCTTTTCCCTCAATTTCCTCCATATACTCGCTCACCTTCTCTTGCTCCTTCTCTTCTCTAATTGACCACAAGAATGGACGCTCGCTGTCTATCAACCCGCGTGCTATTTCCTCCATCTGTCTCTTGGATAGCACGCATAGGCTCCCAAACGATACGTAAATCACCGATGACTCTGGTTTTGAATCTAACCACTCCATGTAGTCATAATTGCAGCTGTCTACAGAGTCTTTTCTGTGTAACAAAACCGACGGCACCAATGGGCCGACTGCCATCATTCTGAAACTGTCACCGACGGCTCTCAGAGCATTGGCTTCTAGTTCCTCAAACGTGTTCGCCAGAACTATTGGATTGGGTTCTTGTTGCAGGATTCGGAGATCCTCTCCCAACGAAGGCAGGAGAAAAGCATAAACGCCGGACGGGGATGTGATAAATGACGGGAGGTCCCGCGGTTCGAAAGGTGGCAGGCCCGGTAGCTCCATTAAATTTGAAACCGATGAAAGTTTGTTCCTGATGAAGTCGTCGTCCTTAAAGTAGTAATAGTAGATGCTGAATACTGTGGCAGGCTGGGCCCACAATAGGGCTGATGGAAGATGAAGTTGGCGGGCCAGTTCTGTTGCCCAAGTAAGAAGCATGGTGTGCACTATACAGGTGAAAGGATGGCCACCGTTCTGCTTGACGGACGCTATGAGATTGGCAATAGACTCAGAGCCCCGACGCCGCAACTCCAAAAGGTAGCTGGCAATAAAATCGTCACTGACTTTGCCTTCTTCGGGTTTGAAACCGTCGTCGTAGCCATCGGAGAAGGGGGCGAAGGAGAGGCCGGGGATAGTTGAGGTCTTGTCCAAGCCACGGTGCATGCGGACGGTGGTGGCGAGAGTGACGAGGACGCCCATGCGAGTGAGTCTGTGGGCGAGCTGGAGCGCGGGATTGAGGTGGCCTTGAGCCGGGAACGAGACGAGAAGAAAGTGGTGCTGAACCATGGCAGGGACGGGGCGTGAGAAGGGACAAATAATTAGAGTAATCAGTCTGTGCAAGAGAATGCGATGAGAAGCATGAATGGTGAGAATAGCATTTTGAGGGGATGGTGCCGTGGAGTACAGTGAGAGTTGGAACTGAGCGAAGCTAAGACAGCGAAACGCACGATGGAGATAGAGAGATAGAGATAGAGGAGAAATTGTATGGGAGGAAATGAGGGACGGGCGTTTTGGCGTTTCTTGGTCGTGGGGGGTCGGGGTTTGAGATTGCGACAGATCGGAGGAGTGAAATTGTGTGAATTATTTGCGGGGATGAAGAGACAAGTGATTGGCAGCTTGACCACGTAAGTTCAGAGTTGAAAAATTAAAATTGAAAACGGCAACGTGACCGGGGACGAACTGCAGAACATTATGGGGGAGCTCAAATGAATTTTAAATTTTTTTTATGACAAAAAGCAAACCCTTTTACAGAACCATTGCCCCCAACGTAGATCCGTCCTGGCAATGTATGTCTTATTCGGCCGGGGTTAAAAGAATCTCATTAAGAAACGCCATCTTTTTTATGAGGACAGAAGTTTGGTGAATTTTTAGTCGTTCAACTAAATACACCAAAGACATTTATAGAGGTTACATTGTCAATCGGATTTGAACTCACGAGTCAACTATTTACCAATGCGATGAGCTCTTGTTTGCACATTTTTATTAGGACGCCTTCTTTCCACTTTTAAGAGGGAATTTATATTGACAGATTATTTTATTTATCAAATTTAGTAAATGGATTTACTATTTTTTCATGCACCTTCTTCTAGGCATCTAATTTGAGTTGTTTTTTCATTGTATTTTTTAATTTTAAAAATTTTACTTTAAAAAATCAGAACAGAATATAAACATAATTGTTAATTTCAAACTAATAGTTTAAAATGAAATTGAAAAGTAATTTTTCAAGTAAAGATATAAAAAGTACTCATAAAACATGGTATCGACGATCCACTATGAACCCCAGACTCGCCGATAGAGATCCTTTGCTTTGAATTTTGCAAAATTTAAATTTTCATAAACTAGAGCTTGCAAATTGAAATTACGACGATCGTCAATTATTGTAACTATGTTTGATGCTTTTATCTTAAAAAGCTATTTTAATAATCTAAAATTTGTTTGGATGATATTTTTTTCCCCCAAAGTTTGGATGATATAATTTTTTTGACCAAGTGGATAATATAATTCAAAAGGAAATTTAAATATACGCAGATTAAAGATGGCTTTAATTCTATTATGTATATTCGTTTGTATAATTTGATCTTCTGAGGAAAAAAATCAATTTTAAATTAAAAATTTGAAAAAAAAAATTTCTACCAAATATACACCTCACATTTCAAAACTAGTGACTTACGACACAGTGGTTTCGTGGTGTCTTCCTCTCATCCAAATATACACCCCTGGCATTCATTTTGACAAATAATTTTACATGTGTGTGCTTCAAACACTGAATAATTCTTTAAATATTAAATAAATCACTGTTATTTTTTATTGGTTAAATAAATCAAACTAAATTTAATAATATAGGAAAATTCATCAATTGTTTTTATACTCTTGATTTAGTTGTAACTTAATTCTTATAGTTTTAACCCAAACTGTTAGTATTTGCCTCTCTAATTAAGAAATATTAAAAGCTTTAACAACTTAACTTATTGGTCTCCAAATTCCAAAATAATTTTAATCTTTCTAATTTTATTTTATAATATATAGGGATCAATATTTAAAATTACAAATTATAAAAATTGAGTTGTATCAAATCAAAGTTTAAGTATTGAATTATAGCTGGGTCATAAGTTATAACCGTAGCACTCCAAAATTTTAAACCAATTTTTTGCAAAATTATTAGCTCAATAAATTATTTTTATGTCATTGAACCCTTACGATGGTAGAAAAAAATATATCATATGAATAAAGAGCAAAACTTTTTTAAAAAATCTATCATGGTAAAAAAGAACTTATCATATAAACAAAACATTTTACAAATAGCCTATTATGATAGAAAAAATCTATTATAGTAAAAAAAATTTAACACAGTAAATAAGCTCTATCACGGCAATTCAAATATCATTATAGTAAATTTTTTCTTGATGGAAGAAAATGTGAAACCATTTACGTCAAGGGATCCCTTTGAAGCAGTCCACATTCAAAATTGATAAATGATAATTTTATATATTTTTATTCTTTTAATTTAGACTTTTAATTATTTATTTAAGGCTAATTGAGTTTAATTAGATATTATTTGATTTTATTAGCTAATATTCAGTTTTGGAATTTTAACTAACTAAATCTTTGATTTTAAAATATAAATAATATCTTTAATATTTTTGCACAGGTGCTATTTAATTTTATTTTATTTGTGCAGATTTTCTAGATTCAATTTGAAAGATATTGATGAAGAATATTTTGGATAAGAAGAATATGGGCATGCTTGGAGATCAAATCAAGAATCAAATCTTTAAAATTTTATTTGAATTTATTTTGGATTATTTAGTGTAATTTTTAATTAGGGTCCACTTTTCATATATATATATATATATGAATAGATGGGGGACGGAGAGGAAGCACGATCTGGGAAAAAAAAAAGGAAAGAAGGGAAACAGAGCAGCGATCGCCATTCGTCTTTCCTTCTTCCAATTTCTTGGGTGATGGCTTCTCAATTTTTCATTTCATGTTGTTTGATTTTTAATTCTATGAAGAGCTAATTTTTTTTTGGTGTGATCAATCACAAACCATGATCCTAAATTTTAATCAGAGTCTTTAATATTCAGGAAAGATTTTATTTTAGCTTTATTCCAATTTTCTCTTCTTCTCTCTACCTCTAAATTTTATGCTTTAATTACTATTACTGATTAGAGTAGCTTTATTGCATAATTTTTGAGTTATAAATTTTATCTGAGGTTTTAATTGCTATAATCGATTGATATAGCATTGTAAGAGTAATTTGGCTTGGCTTGGGTGATTATCCATGCTTTGTTTTTGGTGTGGCTATAAAACAATTGTTAGGTTGTGGGTTAAAGGAGATTTCAATTAATCTATAACTTAACTTCTTGTTTAATTCTTGAATGATAATTTGAGAAATATTATAATGAAACCAGAATAATAAAGTTGAATAAAATTAATTTATTTTGTAGACGAGGAAGGTTAAATTTAGGTGATTGGGTTGTGATTGATTGCGCTGCTTGTTGTCGGTAATTTTCTTAATTGAATTTCCTCTATTTATTTATTTATAATTTAGTTTTTAATTTCATCATAAAAAAACCCCCCCATTATTTATCTTTTCATAATCATAATTTAAATAGTTACTCTATTGACTCTTAGGGAGACGACCTAGGTTGCACTTTACTGCAAAATCTAGTTTTTATTAATTTTGGTGCTGTTCGACAGTAGTGTCAAAATTTTGGCGCCGTTGCCGGGGAGTCAAAGGTGTTAACTTTTTGAGTTTGGTTATTAGTTTTTTTTTCTTCTTTCTCATTATTTTTATTTTTTTTATTTTTTTTTCTCTAGTATTTTTTATTTTTTTCAAGATTTATTATTATTTTTTGTCTTTACTTGTTTTAGGTGTTTTTCATTGTTTTTCCAGTTTATTAGTGCATGACAAGATCTTTACAAGATAAATTAATTGATTTGAACTCTGAGATTGAGAGAACTTGTCGTACTAACCGTAAAAATCAAAAGCACCGTAAAATTAGGGATAGTGTGATCTCTGAAATTTTGTCTGAATTGATTGATAGCATTATTAGTGATTCTAAATCTGACTTAGACTCTACAGTTAAGTTGGAAAATATGGCTGAAAATAATAATGGTAATAGAACAATTAAAGAATTGGCTGCTCCTAATGCACACTATCAAAATTTATGCATTCAATATCCTAATTTAGATGCAAATGCTAGTTTTGAATTGAAATCTGGTTTAGTACATTTGCTACCTAAATTTCATGGTCTTACAGGAGAGGACCCGAATAGCACTTGAAGGAATTTCATATTGTGTGCTCCACCATGAAGCCTCAAGGAGTTTCAGAAGAGCAAATCAAATTGAGGGCTTTTCCTTTTTCATTGGATGGAGTGGCAAAAGATTGGTTGTATTACTTGCAACCAGGTGCCATTACATCTTGGGATCAAATGACACAGTTATTCTTAGAAAAATTCTTCCCTCCCTCTCGCACAGCTGCAATTAAAAAGGATATTTGTGGGATTCGTCAGATGACTGGGGAGACATTTCATGAATATTGGGAGAGATTTAAGAAATTATGTGCCAGCTGCCCTCACCATCAAATACCTGATCAGCAGCTGGTTCAACATTTTTATGAAGGTCTCTTACCAACAGATAGGTGGTTTGTTGATGCCGCAGCTGGTGGTGCTTTGGTAGAACTTACTCCAACTGATGCCATGAATCTCATTTCTAAGATGGCACAAAATTCTCAACAATTTGGGACACGAGCTAACCAAGCAGTTAAGGGGGTGAATGAGATTCCAACACCACAATATGATCCTAAATTTGAGAACAAGATGGAGGAGCTCTCTAGCATGGTTCGGCACATTGCCTTAACACAACAAAAATTAATGAATTCACCAGCAGTGCCAACTTTTCCACAGGCGTATCCCTCACAGACGTGTGCACAACCTCAATTTTATAATCCTCAGCAAGCTACCACATCTTCTGCCTTAGTTGGGCCTCTATGTGGCATCTGTTTTTTAGCCACACACACTACTGATCAATGCCCACAGTTGGATGATAGAGTTGAGAATTGTGCTGGGATTTTTCCAACTAGATCTATGCAACAGGGCCAAAAATATGATCCTTTCTCTAACACTTATAATCCAGGGTGGAGAGATCACCCTAATTTCAGATATGGAGGAAGCCAACAACAACAATATAATGCTACAGGTCAAAATTCACAGCCTATGCAACCAATGAGGCAATCTACTCCTATTTCAGGGTCTAAAAATGATGGACCAAGTCTAGAAGAGTTAATGAAGCAAATGGCAACTAATAACATTCAATTTCAACAACGCACTGAGACAGTAATCCAAAAATTGGAGAATCAAATTGGGCAGTTGTCCACCTCCGTTAATGAATTGAAGAGTCAAGGTTCTGGAAAGTTGCCTTCTCAAACAGTTGTAAATCCTAATTGTAGTAATGTTAGTGCTATCACTCTTAGAAGTGGAAAGGAGCTTCCAGAGCCCTCCACAACATCTATCAAGA